TTCCTTCCTTCCTTCCTCCCTTCCTCTCTTCCTCTCTCTCCTTCTCTCTCTGACTCAAAAAGATGTTTGTACACCAGTATACACTTTAGCATACTTCACAATACCCAATAGGTGCAAACAACCCAAATGTTTCTCCACAGATGAATGGATAGGCAAAAAGTGATATATACGTGAAACTGAATATTATTTGTCATAAAAGGGAAATTAGTTTTGATACATGCTGCACATTGGATGAACCTTGAAAACAGGACTCAGTGAAACAAGCCAGACAGATAAGGCCAAGTATTCTAAGGTTGCAATTATATGTAGTATCTAGGAGAGGTGAATTTAAAGAGACAAAAAGTAGGTTATATATTTTTCAGATGCTAGTTGGGCTATGGCACAGGGAATCAAGCAATCTTAATGGTTAAAATTTCTGTTTTAGCTATAGATTGTGGTGGTGGTTGCACAACATTATCAATCTACTTACCATGTTTCAAATGACAAATTTTGTTATATCTTAACCACAAAAGTATTTTAAATTGAAAAATTAAAGGATACCCCAAAAACCTACCCAAGGAAGTCCATGAACATATAATAGACCTAAAAACAGTGGGGACATGTTTTGGACAAGGAGTGTTTTTACATTGTCTATAGATTTTTTTTTTAAATGACCAGTCTTCTGATGTATAGGAAAGTTACCAGAAATACATATTTCTAGTCTAGATAAATTGCTGATATTATAGCTCTTTCATGGATATAGCCTAGTAACTTGTATTTTCTATACTCTCAATAAGGATGCCATTCCTACACTTTTGTAAATATTGTATAATGGTTTAAAAACATGGGTCAGACATACTTAAGTTCACATTTTGACTGTTACAAGTCCTGGATAATGAAATAATTTTTTTGTCTTCAGTTTCCATACCTGTAAAATAGAAATGATTTTTACCACAAAGTTGTTTTTAAAATTTAAATAAAGATTGCAAAGTAACAAGTACAATACCTTTAGTTGAGAAAAATGCTTTAAAATATTAGCAGCATATTATCATTATCATTTAGTTTTTTTATTTGAATATTCTGTGACTTTTTTTTTTTTTTGGTTAATCATGGGGCTGGAACTCAAGGCCTGGGCACTGTCCCTGAGCTCTTTTGCTCAAGGGTAGGTAGTGGTTTACCACTTTGAGCCACAGCACCATGTCCGGTTTTTGAGTCTCTGAGTTACACTGCCTCAGTCTCGAGTGAAGTGAGCAGTGGTGTGGAGCTATAGAGAAGTAACAAGCCAGCAATGTCTTCTTTCTCACTCAGTGGGGAATGAGAGAAGTGAGACTTCTGGAGATGCTTGGTCGTATATATTGTTTGCAAAGCAATGAAAAATGAAGGAGGATCATTTGCATACTTTATCATCCTGAAAAATGTCAAGAAAGGAGTGGAAAATGGAATTAAAGTTTCTAAAAGTCGAATTAAAACTCTGAAAGTGATTTGCCACATTTATAACTTTACTGAGTATTATTTTTTCCCTTCATTCCTAGATTCATGATGTTGCTATCTAAAGCTGAAAAATCATCAGAAGAAATCTTGAAGATAGTGCAAAATTTACGTAGTATACAGGTTTGCCTTTTTGTGTATAGTTTTTCATACTTCCTACCTCATTTGAAGAGTAATAGGAAATAAGTTCCAGATTAGAGATTCAATGCAAGAGTTCACAAGTGATATGTTTAGTTTACTTTTAATGAGAATGTTTTTGCTTATGTGAATATTACTGAATCATAATATATTAGTCATATCTGGCTTTTCACATTTGTAGATATGCTTAATCTTTTTAATTAATAATACTTTGGTTTTGCCTCCTGGCAACTCAGGGCCTTGTGCTTGCTAGGAAGGCACTCTACCATTTGATCCTGAGCCACAGCCACAACCCGTTTTGATGTATGGTTTTTGTTTGTTTGTTTTCCTTCCAGATAGGGCCTCATATTTTTCCTGGGGCTGGTATCAAACTCTGATCCTCCTAATGTATGATGAGTACTACCACATCTGTAATTGAGATTGTGGTCTCTCTGATGCTTAGCCGTGGCTGGTCTAGACTCATGATTCTCCCAATCACCTGAATAGCTATGAGTAATAATAATGCATTGTTTTTAGTCAGGCATTAGAAAGCTTCCAATAACCAAATTATTGAAAAAGTTAAATTCCCTAACATAAAATTTTCTCTTGTCAGTAATGTTATAGAAAACTTACTTAACAAAGGAAAAAAAAAAAGAAAACTTACTTAACTCATTTAAGATGACTTTCTTTTAGGCTTTGGAGGGAAACAGAGAGCTTGAAAATCTCATTGGCACCTTCTATACACCATGTTTCTTAAGAAGAGAAATGAAGAAAACCAAAGAACTAAGTAAGAAAATTTAATGTTTTCAACATTAGTAAATTTAAATAAATTTCTTCATTTTTCTCAAGTTTAAATTTGACAATACTATATATACACCATTACTGGAATGTGAGAGAACTACTCTTCTTTAAATAAGAAGCCATGTATCTTTTATTAGGCTATGTAACTTAGAGAATACCTCTTTTTTTTTTTTTTTTTGGCTGGTCCTGGAACTTGAACTCAGGGCCTGGGCACTGTCCTTGTGCCTCTTTGTGCTCAAGGCTAGTGCTCTACCACTTGAGCCACAGCACCACTTCTGGCTTTTTTTTCTGTTTAAGTGGTACTGAGGAATTGAACCCAAGGCTTTTGTGCATGCTAGGCAAGCACTCTACCACTAAGCCACATTCCCAACCAGTGAATACCTCTTTAATGGTAAGGAAAGGCTTATACCTTGGAAACTTCTAATAGGCTTCTCTTATGTAGACATCATTTTTAAAATATAAAATTGCATATTATTACTTATGTAATATATATAATATGGCATTTGTACTTTATATTTGATAGCTGTGGCATGTGTTACCCTTTAAATTAGGTCTTCTTATGAAGTTGTTCTACATAAGGGAAAATTATTCCATATGAATTCATTGTATTTTCCTGTGTAGCCCAAACTGGCCTCAAATTTACCATCCTCCTACCTCGGCTTCCCAAGAGCTGGGATTATAGGTATGTACCACCATATATAACTTTTCCATATTAATTCTTAACATAGGATTTCTTTTTTCTTTTAGTGACAAGAGTAACAAAACAGAAATTGTTTGAGAAGAGTTCAGTACTTCCTCACAAAGGTAGAGTTACGTTTTACTTTACATAAAGAGATGCTTTCATCCCATCTGACCAAATAAGACCAATCATCATGAGTGTATGTATCTCATGTATGTAATCTCATTTGCATTTAACAGAAGACCATGTCTAATGAAGTCAACTTCCCTGATGATTGGTTTAAATATCTTTTGAAATACAATTTTAAATATTGTCTATTTCTTTCTTCAGAGAAGTATGACCAACAATGTATTAATATACTATAATTTTAATGGAATGAATATACAAAGCATTTAAAATTATTGTAACCAGTACCCTGGAAATAATGACTTTGGATACTTGATCTGTTTGTGAAGTCATGCCTCTGACATTTTACACTATGAGCAACTACATCAGCAGTTTTTAAGTTTCTATAGGAAATATACATCTATAACTCCTAAGTGTAAGAAAGCTTAGTTCTATATATTCTATGCCAATAGTATAAAATCAAAATCTATAGTGTCCGAGAGCTAATTAGTACTAGATCCTATGTGGCTGGCATTTACCAGAATTTGAAAATAAAGGAAGAGAAAAATTCTCAAAGAAATGAATATAAAGAAATTGAACCAAAAGTATTAGTATGTCCTTCTTTTCCTCCAGGGGATACATTTGTTATCTCCTTCCTATTATCTATTTTATTTCAGTTCTTTGTGTTTATGCAAGATCAGTCTTAGAGTTGATTTCTTTTAGTTCATGCAGAATGACTTATCCATTATGAAGTTTTCCCATACAACCCAGTTTTGCATATTCATAGAGGAAAGTTTATCACTATTCATGTTTTACATTTCTAATACATTGGTTATTTGTCTTAAAAGCTTAAAAATACAATACCTTTATATAAGTATCTTTACATATTGTATATTGATATGCCTAAGCTGGATACTAGTGGCTAACACCCTTAATTGAAGCTACTCTGGAGGCTAAGATCTAAGGATCACAGTTTGAAGCTAGGCCAAGGAGACAAATCCTTGAAATTCTAATTTATGACTAACCAGGAAAAAGCCAAAACTAGAGGGGTGGCTCAAGTGGCTCTCTAGCCATCTGTGAGTAAGAAAGTAGAGTCTGAGTCTGAGGCCTCTGGAGTTCTAGCACTAGCACACACACGTGCACACACATACACAAACACACACACCACACATACACACAAACATTAATGCTTATTTTCTTTGTAATTTGTGTTTGAGCTATGTAGTTTTACTGAGTGCTTTTCCACCTCTTTTGTCTGGTTCCTACTGTGTATATTTTTAATGAGGGGATTTTTGTTGTTGTTAAAGATGATGTAAACACAACAGCACATAACACAAATTTTTTTACTAAGCTAAAAACCTTAACCTGTATCTGTTTATACATTCATTTAAAGAAAAATTTGACAGTCAAACTAATTTACTTTGTATGTTTATTATTTGAAATTAGGCTTTTGGCTTTTAATAGAAATTTCTCCATTGCCTTTTTTGTACTACACTATTATCCAGAATTGTTTTAATTTTAAAATTTTAAATGGGCTTGCACCTGTAATCCTAGCTTCTCAGGAGGCTAAGAACTGAGCATCATAGTTCCAAGCCAGTCCAGGCAGGAAGTCTATAAGACTCCTCTTTCCAAAAAAGAAAAGTGTGGCTCAAGCAGTAGAGCACTAGTCTTAAATGAAAAAGCTAAGGGATAGTGTTCAGGTCCTGAGTTCAAGTCCCAGTACTAGAACAAAAAAAAGTATAAATTTTAAAATGTTTTATGAATCTTTATAACATTAAAAAGTATATAAAATAAAAAAATGAACCCAATACTATATACTACAATTGTTTCATAAGAATTTATGAAAATAGGCCAGTTACTTGTCTCTTGAGTACGCTTCCTGCTCTTCTTTTTTTTCTTTCAAATTCCCTTAGATTCTTGTACATTTTTCCTGGATTAAAATAGACATTTGGAGGGAAATTTTACTATTTGTGCCATCAGCACTCCTTCAACTTTTTTTTAGCATTTTCATTTCAGTGCTAAGTTCCATTTACTTAGTATCACTTACAGCCCTGATTACAGACGAGTATAATTGTAAAATCAATACTCAGGTCCTGGGGACTGTCCCTGAGATTTTTTTTTTCTCTACCACTTGAGTCACAGCTTCACTTCCTGCTTTTTTGGTGGTTAATTGAAAATAAGAGCCTCATAGACTTTTTCCGCTGGGTCTAGCTTTCACTCTCAATCCTCTGATCTTAGCCTCCTGAGTAGCTAGGATTACAGGAGTGGGCCACCAGTGCCTGGCTAATGCAAGTGTTTTAGTAGACATCTGGTACACATTTTTTAAGGCTTTGTGTAACTTATTCTACAAACATTCTTTTTTTTTTTTGGTCAGTCATAGGGCTTGAACTCTAGGCCTAGGCACTGTCCCTCAGCTCTTCAGTTCAAGGCTAAGCTAGAGCTCTACCACTTAAGCCACAGCTCCACTTCCGATTTTCTGGTGGTTAATTGGAAATAAGAGTCTCATGGACTTTCCTGCCCAGACTGGCTTTTAACTGTGATCCTCAGATCTCAGCTTTCTGAGTAGCTAGGATTACAAGCGTGAGCCACCAGCACCTGGCTCTATAGACATTCTTTGCGTGCATAACAAGAGAAGCTGCACTAAAAGTTTCAGAGGTTTGAGAAGGACTGAACCTTAGAAATCAAGGTTCCTTGATATAGTAACAGAGGATCTTCTCTGCTAAGTACAAGTTTCTTAAACAAAGAAGGCTTCTTACTGAAGTAAGCCTAACTTCAGTTTCCTTAATAATATTGGCTTTATGACTATTAGGAAAAGAATCAAATGAAAAGTTCTTTTTCTGCTAGATATGGATGTGAATTTTCATAATTATTTTAAATTTGTTATGCCTATGATTTTAAATAGACAACCATTCAGTGGGCTGATACAGATGGAATATCACATTATCATCACATGGCAAGGCATGAAATTTATTTGCTTTATATAACTAACCTCTACTTAAAACAACCTGATATAGCTATTCCTTAGTCAATAAGTGGCATTTTGTAATATTTGGTACTATCATTTTTTTTGAGATTCTGAAAAATGCCACCATTGTTTGTCTATGACTAGTACTTCCAGTAAACAAAATGTTTTTGAAAAGAATGTAAGCAAAATGCAGAGTGGTTGCCAAGATATAATGTAGACACTAAGCTTCAGTCCAAAACATAGTTTATCTGTTTTGAAAATAATTGTGTAGGTTGCAGTATGCATATTTTATGAAATACAGCCATCTGAACTTTATATTGTTCAAAGAGGTTGATTGTTTCAGCTGTTTATAATAGAAAATGTTTCAGAATTTCTAGCTCGTATTAAAAGAAAAACATGTCCTTTAGTTAGCTTCCATTATAAAATTTACATGATAAAATTCATTTAAGTTACAGGATTTTAAGTTTATCATAAATGTACAGAACAAATTTTCAACCTTTTCTGTTTAAGACTATAAATGGATTACACTGCCTTTTCGTTCTAACCACAAACTGAAGTATTTTTTAAACATAAAAATGTTGTCCTTTCCCCCACTCAGTCTTGAAAAAGTATTCATCACATCAACTAAATAATTTTACTCTCAGAGGACTACTAGCCTTTCCCCCCCCCCCACATATCATAGCATTAAACAATATCTTTTTTCAAGCAGATACTTCTGTTTTACAAGCACCAAGGTTTGAAGTTCAGACACGATAAGGTTTAAAATTTTCCCCTTCAAAAAAAAAAATCCCTCTTAGCTTATAGGCGGATAATTAATTTCAGTAGCACAAATATACATTAGTGTACACTATAGTCCTCAGCTCTTACAAGGAATCAGTTCTCATTTAAATCATCCATGGGTCATACCTGACCTATTAATAAGGTTAACGTACCATCCATCATTGTTTGGGGAATACATTTCAACAACTAAAAATGCTTCTTGGGATTTGTCTAGGACTTAAGGAAAAAGGTTTATTACTTTTCACAGCTTTTTTAGTAATTTTCTTCCATGATTTAAATTTTTTATACTTTTATGAGAAGTATGATAGTTTTTAAGTAAAATCAGTAAAATAATGTTGAAACTATGTATCTGAACCCACTTAGTGGCAATTATGTGTTTAAGAGGTGTAAATAACTTGCTAGCAGCAGACATTACAAATATCCAGGTGCTCTGTATGTGCTGATGACAACAAAATTGAAAAGAAAGACTGTAATAATTCTGACTGGTTTTCTCTGCAGAAGATATTGATTATTTGTGTGTGGTGAGAGATTTGGAAAATTCAATTAAAGGAGTTGTGCAAAGGTTTCATAAATTTTCCTTCTACAGCGTGTACACAGACATTGTTGCGTATTAAATCAATGCAGCACTTCACAATATATTTTCTTTGAAACATAAAAATAAATAACATTTAAACAGTTCTGCTTACTACAGAAACAAATTTTATTTTCTGTGAAGCATTTAGTCATGTGCTATCACTGACTCATACACATTTGCCAGCTGTAACAAATTTTATAGACATTTTCCCCTGAGACATAGCTCACATACTATGAATTTTTAAATGAGCAAATGGTGAAGAAGGGATGTCAGCAATATAAAAATTGATCAGTTAAAAGATAAAAGCATAAGTAAAGAGATTTGTATGGTAGTCCTAATAGGTTTTATTAAATAAAAATACTATAAAAAGACTGTAATGAATAGACTGAATGAATGAATTGTTCTTGAGGTAGAGAAAAATTATTCTGGCACATTTATAGAAATTGGTTTTCTGTCACCTGACAGTCGAACATTTTTTTCCTTTTTTTAGCTCTTAGGCGAGTTAAAAAAAAGCCCTCCCCCCAAGTCAAATAAATTCTTTTAAGTAGCTTACATATTTTAAATACATATATAGCAAAGCAGATATTAGTAGTATTAATATAGCTAGTTAGATTGCTATGAACCTGATTTGTATAATAATAGTAGGTGATTAACCCTCTCTCAAACCTCAGAAAGGAGGGAGTTGGTCATTTTATTCATACTTCACATCATACACTTCAGCCCTGTAAAGCCTAACAGACTAGGTCTAACAGACTAGGTTTCCCTACTGGTCCTCTCTCTACTAGATTGTTCTTCCTTCTTCTCTAGCAAATTCCTGCCTGTCCTGGAAGATCAGTCTCAGATGTCCCATCCTTTGGGGAACTCTTCCCGAACTCTGCTATGTAACAGAAAAACTGCTCCATCTTCTAGACTCCTCCACTTTCTGAATATTTATAAATATATCATGATGTAATAAAATATAAAGCTCTATTTCCTTCTGGACTCCTATGGAGACTAGTCTGTACAGAATCGTCAGAAGGTCCTCGATGCAGGACAGTGAATGTGTGAATGAATGTCTTTTCTATTTAAAAGAATTACCTGGATATTTTCAAATACTTATAAATTGCTCTCTTTACCCACTTCATTAATTTACTGTTTATTTATTTCCTATTACAAACTAAGCACAGTTCTAGCCTTGGGGATGTGGTGGCAAACAGGACAGCCCTGCCCTCAGGAGTTTTGAACCCAGTGTAAATGACAAGTAATCACAGTAAAGCAGAGTATAATGACAGTGGTATTACACAGTGGAGTTATTCTGTTAGTGTACTCCTCACATTCCTTAGTAAAACAGTATAATAAGTAAGCATACATTATAATAAATGTTTTTGGCTGTTTTTTATACTTTAAAATGTACATTCTAAAATAAAACTAGCCAGGAGCCTATCAACTTCTGTTTACCATGTAAAATAAGTTTATTTTAATTTGATCTAGAGCCAGTATAGTGCATCATATAGTGTGATAAGTTACTTTGAACTGTTTTCTGAAAAAAAATTCTTTTTTCACACAGAATTATACCATCTTGACAGTTATGAATTCCTTAGAGCCATTTTAAACTCAGGTACTGTTTTCCATTTTCTAATTTAGTTTAACCTCTTTAAGTATCACTGTATTTTGTTCAGGTAGAAACTGTTTATTTAAATTATCAGATTTGGTATGTCTTTGTCTACCAAAATAGGTATATGCGCTTTGGAGCTTTGTTGAAATTATGTTCAATCCGTTCTTGTAAACAATGGGGGAAGATTAAGATTCATTAGTAAAAGGGCCTGAAATTAAGAGTCTTTAGTTTAAAAAAAAGTAGCTAAAGAGTAAGTCTGTAAAATTTGGAAATGTGCAAATTAAGTAAATAATATATATTAGTTATACCTTTTCCTCAAAATAATTTCTTGTAACCAGAACAAATCATGTTAAGAAAGCCAAGTTCAGAGAAACAAAATGGCACATGCTCTAATTTGCAGAAATTAGATCTGAAATATACTGGGATATAATAAGTTATACAGGATTCTAGATACTCACATACAGTGAAATCAAGAGTATACTCTTGGGAGAGAAACACGAAGATATAATGCCTAAATGCCTCTTCATATTCACATAAAATAATGCACATATCAAAATGAACCTCAAGATATGGAAACGAGATCTTTTTGTAATTCTGTCTTCTGTACCTTATGTATGATGTAGTCAAGTGTATATATTCAGCAGGGTTGGGAGAAGGGTACAGAATTCAAGGGCAAAAAATGTGAAAAAGTGCAGCAGTGGAGCTCACTAAACACAGATGAAAGGGACTTATACAACTCATGGGTGGAGATGGGAGGAAGGGACTGGGAGTGAGGAAACAGAAGACACTTGTACAAAAGGAAATGTACTCATTACCTGATTCAAGTTCCATGGGACTGGTGGCTCATGCCTGTAATCCTAGCTACTCAGGAGGCTGAGATCTGAGGCTAGCCCAGGCATGAAAGTCCATGAGACTCTTATCTCCAATTAAGCACAGAAAAAGCCAGAAGTAGCACTGTGCATCAAAAATAGTCGGGCTAGCCTTGAGCAAAAGGGAGCCCAGGGACCGCACTGAAGCCCAGAGTTCAAGCCTGAGAACTGGCAAAAAATAAAAATCCCTTGTGTTCAGCAATACAAAAAGATACCTTTCTAATAGCTTATTATAGCATGTACTGTAATCAGTCAGTACATCATGATGTGATGTGTTTGGTGTATCTGTAATTCAGGTTCACACTGGGAAATGACACTGTCCTAGACTTCCTGGCATCAAAATTAAAAGATTCTTATAAGCCAACTAGATATTGTCACCTATCTCCTAGAAGAAGAAAAAATAAAGCAAAATTAAAGAATTATGTTCAATTAAGAAAATTCTGGGGCTGGGAAGGTGGCTCAGTGGTAGAGCGCTTGCCTTACATGCATGAGGTCTTGGGTTCAATTCCTCAGCACCATATAAGCAGAAAAAAGAAAAAGAAAGAAAGAAAATTCCTTTGGAAATAGTGTCAGAAGTGGTCTCTTTTAGCTTAAAAAACTAGCTTTTCTTAAAATACTTGAAAGGTATCTTATAATATTATATTATATTATAATATCATTCATTGAAATATCCATTCTATTTATACAATAAATAATAATAGCTAAGACCTGTAGAGCATATTTTATGTGGCACTATTGTAAGTGCTATCTACACATCCATTTATTCTTCAGAACAACATAAGGTAGTTACAGTTATTACCTTTACTTGCTGGTGAGCAAACAGAAGTGGAGCCCACAGTGATCTTGAATTCTGTGTGATTTTCCAAACCTGAGAAGCTCAGTCTTGAAGCAGACCCTAAGTCAACAGGCTTCTAAATTTGTGAAGATCTCAGATCTGCCTTACCTGCATGGTTGCAGGTCAGCATGAGAATGAGCTTAGGAAGTACAAAGGCCCATTGGACTTTTGATAGGGAAACTGTAAAGTGGGGAAGAATGGTCTGCAAAATTAACAACGCATGGCATTAGTAAAATGTGGAATGAATGTTTCGGACATACTTTCATTGGGTCTAAGAGACAAGGCAATAACAAAAATTTCCTCTTCTTTGGGACAGAGGAGTGTAAACATTTCTCTACCATGAATACCCAATAAAGAATAAGCCTTGCTACAGAACTCACAACAGGCACAGATCACCTTTGGGTGAGGTAGCTCAGTAACTTGTTAAAGGTTCATGATTTTAAAACTAATTTTATCTGAATGTGGTCAGTACTTGGGAGGCTGAGGCAGGATGGTCTCAAGTTCAAGGCCAGCTTGTGCTACATACCAAAATCCTATTTCAAAAGATAATTATAATAATGCTAACAGTCCTAGTTATTCCATTCTACCTTATCTTTGAACGCTATCAAGATCCTCATGTTGAAAAGTTGTACTTTAAATGGGGTCGTTTTCTATTTTGTTTGGTTTTGAGACAGTCTCTTTATGAGCCCTGGCTTACCTCTATCCTCCTGCTTCAGTTTCCCAAATGCTAGAATTTTAGTATGTCACCATGTATTGCCCCAAAAAGCAATACTTTTAATGAGGTTTGTAAACAAAGTAGGCAGAGAGAATATGAACAAAAAGTATAGGAAAGCAGAATGATAGACAGTGAGATAGAGGGCATATCACTGACAATTACAATTAACTAGGCTAATATATTTATCTTTAATTTATTAAGCAGAAGTGGGCCAGTAGAGATGACTTATACAAGTAACAACTTGAAATGTTTCTGAAAGAATAATGTAAGTGCTATGAGGGATGAACACTGCTACTGTGTGCTATAGCATATATCACATCGATCCAAGTATTTCTTTTTGCTGGATGTTACATTTGTCTTGGAATCTTTTTCAACACAGTTATCTCAGCAGTCATAATCAGTTGATGAAAACTTTGCAGGGTCTGACATTACAAAAAAAGTAAGATTTGGATTAGATATTCAACACCAGCTCTACCTGCTTTAGTTACATGGCCTTAAACTAGATAATGGTTTCCCCTAAGGCTTGATTATAAACAAGACCAGACAATTTCTTTTCCTTTATTGTAATATCATCTACTATGACAAGTGTATGAATAACCTTTGAGGAAATTAGTGAAAAGCACATAGTCTATAGGAATACAGACTAGACTGAAACATAAAGTTGAAGAAAGTAGGTTGCTGACAACCAACCTTAAGACAAGAAGGAATACATGTGAAGGCCTGTTAAGAATAGTGTAGTATAAGGACCCACTTCCTTATAACTGTTATAAGGAAGGAAGGAGTGAAAGGTCCACATACCCTATGGGACACATATGCCTTCAACTGCCACCAGCTGCCTCCTTCCAAGGCTTCACTTTCACACCAAGTTCCTAATGTCAAAATAAGACAAGAACCTTTACCACCGCTAGGAGTCCCCAGAGGGACACAATGTGGAAAAGAATCTGTCAGTAAAGTCTTTTAGGGGGCAGCTGTTGGAGGAAACACCTGCTTGAAAGATCCTTAAAGCTTTCAGACGAAGGCATGTAAATGTGGTGTTTTCAGTAGGTCATGTCAGAGTATTAAAATTCTCTCAAAAGTATCTTATGTATTTTCACTTGAGATGAAGAGCCAGTGCTGTCAGAGTAATCATTCAATTGCTTATAAAGTGAATCCGACTTAAAACTCAAAACTATGCAAATGAGGATAGGAGCCAAGGCTCAAGTAATATAGCACCTGTCTAGCAAGCCCAGGGCCTTAAGTTCAAACAGTGCCAAAAAAAGCAAATGAGAGGTATCTAATTAAAAAGGTAACAGGATAATGGGTGATTAGTGATTAAGTCATTTTATATATTGTATGACAGACATTAAACTGAGAACTGATTTGTGATGATGTAATAACCATCTTTCATATTTTACAGGCACCTAGAAGAAATGTACTTTCTATGAGCAAAACTTCTGCATCTGCCTGATCATATTTAAAGGAACAGAAAAAATGTTTGTAATTAATCTGCCCAGTAAATACCAGCTCGTAGCACTAGGCAGGTGCAAGACTAGATAAAATTTCCTGCAGCTAATTTAAACTTTCTACACACACCAGTAGATAATCTCAATGTAAATAATACATTTCTTCTTGACCCTTTAATGTAACAAGCTAACACATATAAGAGGACCTTCTATTCTGTGTCACATTTCTAGATATTTGAAGTACTTGTGGATAGAATTACTAAAACATGTATGACAGTGCCTCTTTGAAAAGAGCTATATTTTTTCTAGAACACTGAATAAAATTTAATGTAAGTAAAATTAGGTACCATTTTTCCATTTGAAAGTACTTGTTCCTTATTAATTTACAGATTCTTTTTTTGAAAAAATGTATTGCAAAATACAAGACTATAGCCTCTAGCTTAGGGATGTATCTTTATTATATATATGCTAGTCTTTTTTCTGTGCTCGTAGAAAAAAACATTTTGAAAGTTTAAAAAAATTTTACACCTCATATGAAATGTGACAATGCATTTTCCAGCACAGACATTTAAATGTGAAATTATTTTTTAACTATCAACTCCCGTCAATTTTAAAGAAAAGACCTGGAGATAACATACAACCCCTTCCAATTTATTTTGAAGCATTAACTTAAGATTTCTTTTACTCTGGGTGCAGTTTGTGTTACCATCTATTTGTGCTGCTACTCACAAAGTAGAGAAGAAGGAATCAGAGTGTCCTGCCCTGTAAGTTTTTAAAACCATTACAGGGGCATATGCAGGGAAGATGCTTTCCTGTGGTGCTTGCCTTAGTGTTTGACAAAAATCAGTCTAAGATGTCTTTTAGTTCAGTGGATTATGAAAATAAAACACTGTATGAAAATCTGAAACAAAATTAACAAATTAAGGTTAAAATAACTCATTTTCCACTTAAGAATACTCTATGATACAATTCTTCTTATCAAATGTTACCAAAAACTAACTTTAGGCTATAAGCCAAAACATTTCATAAAGTAACCCATATTAGTTAGGAAACAAAGGGTTAAGTTGTAGATTGCTTTCATATGTAATCCAAGTTATGCAGGCATGTGCTTAATGCTATTAAACCAGTTACTGTGTGTTTGACCTCTTGATATACTAAGCTTTTGCCTTTCACAACAGCTGGGTCTGCTAAGAATCATTTCCCAGTTCTCTTCATTGTAGATCAGATGACTCTCGCTTTATCACCCTTGGAGGCCGCATGAAGGACAAAGCAGAAAGATACACACACAAAACTAATGTTTATGTGGGGGGAGGGGAATGGGAGACATACTTGGCCCTGATCTTCCAATGAACATAACAGAAGAGAGACCAATTGAGACTTGAAACCACTGTATTATTCTAACCATTATTTAGTTATAATCTATCCACCTCCTGTTCCCTTCCTATTGAACAGTCTCCTTTGGCTGCTCTGACTTTTGTAAATATTTCATTCACTTAGTTATGGTTTATCATTTGGACAGAATGCTACATCGGGGATTCTTCTCCCCTCCTTAAGACCTCAAGGGAAAATGATTTCTATATACTTCGTATATGATATATGAACATACACTCTATTCTCTTCATTGCTTTAAGAAGCAACCCAAGTGTATCAACAATGGAGAAATCTTCATTTCTCAGAAATGTTTCTGCCCTCTAAAATGTACTTCAAAGTAACATTAGGAGGGTTCATTTTTTTTTTGGCAGGTATGTTAGACAAGGAAGTAAGATATTTTCCTATCTTTTGCATAACCTAGCTGTTTATTAAAGCACCCATCCCTATGATTTTGAATTTAGCTATGAGAAATGCTCTGTAATTGGCTACTCCTGTGGTCCTAATGTATCACTGGGTATTTCTGCTATTTTGGAACCTAGCTACACCAAGTTCAAAGTACATTCTTAAACTGGTTTCTAGTAAATATAAGCAGTATTTATACTATTACAAGTTTCCTTAAGGATTACAGTGTTATTCAGTATTAGAGTGAATCCATCTGAAAAATGGATTCTTACAGAATTTACTTATAAGATACCTTGGATGTTGGTAATTACTTTTAAAGTTTCTCTAATTACCTAGAAATTGGTAACTTCACCTTCACTAATTTAAATTAATATTGTGTTAAATTCCAGTATACTACAAAATTTAAAATAGTATGAATGAAGTTTTACCAGCCAGCCAAGATACTGACATTTGGGCACAGTGATTACAGATGGCGACCATGGACAGCGCTGCTGATTCGGCAGTGGCTCAAGGCTGCTGTGCTATGCTGTGCTGTGCTGTCCTATGCTGTGCTGACCTGCTTGAGTCTTTATGAACATTTGCTTTGAGAAAGAAATACTTCTCAATTGTTTTCTTCATCTAAACTGGCTTTTCTTTATCTCACTGAGAAACAGGTAACTTCTTAAATCAGCCTTTAGCTGACCATGTCCAAAATGTACGTGTATGTGTGTATGGTTGGAATTGCACCATTTTACATTATAACACCATTTAGTATACTTTAGTGGCTACTTTATACAAGATATATATTCATTACATAATAGTTAATGATGAAAATGACATTATTGTATCAGACTAAGAATGTTGTAATATGAGAAACTAAAAAGTAGATGTTCTACATGAAGACTGAAATAAAGACTTGTTTTTGCTAACAAAAAGTGATACTGTATTAACAGAACAAAAGTAACCTGAAACATAATTTGAATCACTATCTATGACACTGGTAATATTGATTATAACAAAAAGGATGAAATATTTTTTTTCCGGTAAGTCATGGGGCTTGAACTTGGGGCCTGAATGCTATCCCTAAGCTCTTTTGCTCAAAGCTAGTCCTGTACCATTTTGAGCCACTGTGCCACTTACGTTTTCTGGTGATTAGTTGGAGACAATGCTTGATAGGAAATGTACTCATTACCTTACTTATGTAACTGTAACCCCCTCTGTAACTATTTTTACAGGGAAAAAGAAAAAAAAAAAAAGTCTTATGGACTTTCCTGCCCAGGCTGGCTTCAAACCAAAATCCTCAGATCTCAGCATTGTGAGTAGCTAGGATCATAGGTATGAGCCTCCAATGCCCAGTGGATAAAATATTTATACACCAGTTTAAACAGTTTGATTCTGGAAGGATAGAACTAGTAATTACAATTAATAAAGAACTTTAGCAGGCTCTTGCTGGTTTACACCTGTAATACAATTCAGGAAGCTGAGCTCTGAGGATTGTGGTTCCAAAAAAAATTATTTAGACCACTTAATTTAAATTGAGAAAAAATGATTTATGGATGCAGATATACCTTTATTCTTAGAAAAAAACAAGAATCCATTTAATCTACTTTGCTTTGTTTAAACATTCATGTTTACATATCTAATCAATGAGAGTCAAATTTCAAGCTGCTTAATTTACCTTCTCAGTAATTAAAAAGATTATCCCAAATTTGCCAGGCACTGGCAGACTGACACCTGTAATCTTAGTCACTCTGAAGATCACAGTTTGAAGCCAGTCCAGGCAGGAAAGACTGTAAGACTCTTAAGTCCAAGTAAGCACCAAAGAAACAGAAGTGGTTCAAGAAATAAGAGTGCTACTCTTGAGCAAGAAACCTCAAGGACAGTGCCCAGACCTTGAATTCAAGCCCCAAGGCTGACACAAAAAACAAATAGGCCAAATTTATTTTCCTGAAATAATTACTGCACAATAAAGTATACATTACTTATATACTAAAATGTAAAGGAAACTTGAATATTAAAATTTGTGATTTTCTTTAAAAAAGAGCATTGTAATTGCAAATTTTAACATAAGCTTTATAGCATTCATTTCCCAAGAAAATACTGGGAGTAAGAATATTATTCTCATATTTTACCACTTAAATACTGTGAATACTGGGCGCCGAAGGTTCACACTTGTAATCCTAGCTCCTCAGGTGGCTGGGATCTGAAGATTGCAATTCAAAGCCAGCCCAGTCAGGAAAGTCAGTGAGACTCTTATCTCCAATAAACCACCAACAAACTGGAAGTGGTGCCATGGCTCAAGTGGAAGAGCCTTTGCCTTAAGCTCAAGAGCTGAGGGACAGTGCCCAAACAGAGTGCAAGCCCCACAACCGACAAAAAAAAAAAAAAAAAGCTGTGACTATTAAAGTACAATATATGTTGGCCAAGTAATACTTGATCTTTGGTCCCATTATGCATTTATTTTGTGCACACACAAAAAAAGCTTTTCACCCTTTTCTATGATTCCATGATTCTCAAAATGATCATTTCATTTATATATATAACAAAAAGTTCACATTTGTTTGGGAATAAAGATTAGTTGATTTTCTTCTGACTTCTTCCATGTTTAGAATCCCACATGATTATAATGTTAAAGTATAACAAGAAAAACAGGAAGTTCATGCAGGATATAAAACACACCAATACAGAAAATAAATCTGGCAATTTCTGAGGAGGATCCAGTGAGACGGTCATCAATGTCAGAAGGAGCATAGTGATTACTGAAGTAAGAAACTAGGAGAGAAAAAAAAATATTTAGTATAGAAGGCAAAACGAATGTACTGCTAACATTGGTTTGTAGTTATTGTAGATTTAAGGAGAAGTAAGAGTCCAGTCTCTTCAGCAGATGGATCTCAACTCGGGCTTCATGTTAGAATCATCAAAGAATTAAAAATACCTCCATGATGGAAGTAGAGATGTGGCTCAAATGGAAAAAATACCACTCCTGAGTGGAAAAGCCAAGGTAGATCTTTGTACTTGTTAGGGGCAAAGCTTTCCAAGTAGTTTCCCTGTGTTAATAGGTAGGTGGGAGAACCTGTCTAATACCTCAAACTACCAAGGCATTAAAAGGAAGTATTTGGGACACTGAGTAAACTTGGGATATATAGCTACACCCTATCTCAAAAATAAAAAGGCTATGTATCTCAAAAATAAAAAGGCTATGTGGCTCCAGCCCATAATCCTAGCTACTTGGGAGACAGAGATAAGGGATCATGAATATTCTTACAGTAGTATAGTAGTTCTTTAACACTCCCTGGCTTTTCATTGTCTAATATATTGATATATTCCATAGTATGTGGTAACTCAACCATCTCTTGGATAACCAAGAGGTACTAATGTTTTTCTTGTTCCAAATAAAGACAAAAGACAACAACTATGTAAAAGCCAGGGCATCTAGTCCATACCAGTGGCTCATGCCTATAATCCCAGCTACTCAGGAGGCTGAGACCTGGAAGATCATATTTGAAGTCAGCCACGGCAGAAAAGTCAGAAAGATTGCATCTCCAGTTAACCAATGTCAATCTGGAAGCATGCCTCAAGTGGAAGAGTGCCAGTCAAGCAAACAAGCTGAGCCAGAGCACAAGGTCCTAATTTCAATCTCTATAATAGAAAAGAAAAAAAGCCAGGACATCTTTTCATAGTTGGAGATTCAGCTAGCTTCTTTTGGGTCTCTTCTTAAGTTTCATCCTTATGAATGGTGAATGTAGGCTGTTAACTGTTTTTCAAGGGAAATCAGTAGTGATATGCTCATGATTTATTGGAATATCCAATAAAAGATAATTTGTCACATCTTTGACCTCTGCTGCAGCACAGTGATGGGCCCTCAATACGTGCCAGTAAGCTTAGATTTGAGGCTGCTGGCAGGAAGAATCTGCCCCAATCTTAAGAGAGAAAATCTCACCTACTTAACAAAGGCATATAGAACTTAAAGTAGACAGGATCCAAGAAATACTTCTAGAAAACACTGGACTTAAGAAACAAGGAATCAACTTTAAATGCAGCAAAACCAATTGAGGAGCTATATTACAACAGAAAGAAGATCAGAATCACTACAGATTTCCCCACACAAACTCTCAATACAAGGAGAGCCTGGAATGGTATACTTCAAATCCTGAAGATCAACAACTGCCAATCCAAACTGATGAGCCTAGCAAAACTATCATTTACAATTTAATTATTTTGTCATCCTAGACAAAAATTAAAGGAATTCATGAACACTAAACCAGAACTGCAAAACATACTAAAGGGAAGCATACATCACTTAATACAATTTTTCCAAGTCTTTCCATTTCCTAACAAATGGGGCAGCGTCATTCTTTCTGATAGGGCATAGGTCATAGGGGAGCTGTATGTGTAGTCTTTTGAGGAACCTCCATACTGCTTTCCAAAGTGGTTTGACAAGTTTATACTCCCACCAATAATGCAGTAGGATTCTAAAGGGAAGCATACAATCTGAAGAAAAGAAAGTCAAAGAAACACATCAGATAAAAATCACTAGATGGGCTGGAAAGGTGGCTCAGTGGTAGAGCGCTTGCCTTGCATGCCTGAGGCCCTGGGTTCGATTCCTCAGCACCACATAAGCAAAAAGAAAAAAGCCGGAAGTGGCGCTGTGGCTCAAGTGGTAGAGTGCTAGCCTTGAGCTGAAGAGCTGAGGGACAGCACCCAGGCCCAGAATTCAGGCCCCACGACCAGACCCCCCCCCAAAAAAAAAAATCACTAGAGGACTAGTAAGCAGTTAAAGAAGCAAAATACAGGAAATCAAGAAAATGGCAGGAAACATGACACACCTCCCCATAATAACCTTAAACATTAACGGACTCAATTCCCCAATTAAAAGAAGTAAAGCAGATTGGATCAAAAAACAAGATCATCCATTTGTTGTTTCCAAGAGACCCATCTCACAGTCAAAGACAATAATAAATTGCTTTCATGCAAATGCATTCTGCAGGAAGACAAGAATGGCCACATTGGTATCTGATAGAATAGACTTCATTAAAATCACTATGAAGAGACAAGGAATGTTATTACATATTAACAAAGGGAATGATCCAAGAAGAGGAAATCACAGTAGTATTTATGTACCCAAACAATGGGTACATTAAATACATTAAATATTTTTGAACTTAAGAACATGATAGACCCCCAACACAATAATAGAGGGAGATTTTAATATTCCGCTCTCACCAAAGGACTGTCAACCAAACACCAATACTCCTCTAGCTTTTTCATGAAATAGAAACAGAAGGAACAAATGAAACTAGTATCATACTCACCTCAAAACTGGGTAAGGATCCAACAAAAAATGAGAACTATAGATCCATTTTTCTAATGAACACAAATGCAAAACTCTTCAATAAAATACTAACCAACAGAATCCAGAAACAAAAAATCATAAATTATGACCAAGTAGGCTTCATCCCACAGATGCAAGGCTGGTTTAACATATACAAATCAGTAAATGTAATTCATGTCAGCAGAGCCAAAGATAAGAACCACATGATCATCTCAACAGATGCAGAAAAAGCCTTCAACAAAATACAACATCCATGTTCAAAGCTCTGGAGAAGCTAGGAATATAAGGAACATTCCTCAAAATAATACGGACTATATATGACAGACCAACAGCCAACATCATACTGAATGGGGAAAAACTAAAACTATTTCCCCTAATATCAGGAACAAGGCAAGTATGTTCACTCTCTCTACTCTTTTTAATAGAGTTCTGGAATTCCTAGCCAGAGCAATAAGGCAAGAAAAGGTCATAAAAGAGACTCACATACGGAAAGAAGAAATCAAACTATCCCTATTTGCAAATGACTTGATCTTATACCTAAAGGACCAAAAAACTCTACCCCCAAGCTCCTAGAGCTGTTCAACCATTTTGGCAAAGTAGCAAGATACAAAATTAACCCACAAAAGTCAGTAGCCTTTC